CATTTATCTATTTTTCTCACTTTTATAATTTTTATATTCATTTGAAATTTAAATATATTTTTTAAATGTATCACTGCAGAATTTTTTAATACGAATATTGAGGAAAATACAAATGGCCGATACACGTGCACACAAAATCAACTTCCTTTTAAAGGAATAAAGTGCTATGTCTTAAAATAGCAAGTGTCTTCTGGCCTCAAAATTTCCAGAGCCACTTTTTTTTTTCCCCTCTGATTTCTTTTGTCTTAAAATTGCCAGCAGCCTAAACATTATGTAAGACATTTTCGTCCTGCTGGCGTGCCCATCTCCTTTTGCTGTGCTCTTTGCTGCCTGTGGTCTTCCTCAGCCCAAGCACATCAGAGAGCCAGAGATGTTCCCTTCAACCCAATTAACCCCAGACCATTACAGCCACGTTTGGTGTCATACTTGCAACTTTTTATTCTTCTGTTATTCAAAGAAGCAGCTTGATTTCGGGGTTTTCCCCATATTGGTTCTCTCAGATAACAGTCATTATAGCAGCTGGCTTCCAAATCTCTTCCCTTTTGAGCTTGACCTATCGCAGAAAGGTAAAGAAATTCTGTGCTTTTTACCTACCATTTTAATAAGTTTAATCTAACAGTCTTTTGCTTGGGTGGAAAGACAGTCATAGTTACAACACAGATTTTGATTCTGACTTTTCCACATCCTTCTAAGTACAAACATACTTGAGGCTTAAGCAATTGTAAACAGGAAAAAAAAAAAATAAAGTCTTGCTACCCCAAAAGCTTTCTTAGGGTAGTTGCTTTCACAGGTATGCCTGCAAACAGAAAATGCAGTGATCTAACAATTCCAGGCTAGTTTTCTCTTTGCTCCTTTAAATGGCAATCCTGTACTGTGTGACTAATTTTTTTTTTTCATTTAAAAACATTTATGATGGAAAATACAGCTCTTCAAAGATTCTAGTATTGACAGAGGTGTTTAAGAGGAGCAAAGCATCCACAGAAATATCTGAGTTTTTCCAATTCAAGTACTGTGCTCCTCTTCTTTTTAAATTTTCTTTCTTGTGAAACATAATGCAAGTCAGCAATTCTTCGCTGACATTGAAGCTTAGACTATCACTTGGACTGTATGGGCATCATAATTGAGATTATTCATGTGCTGCAGCGAGCTCTCTTCTCAGACTGGAGTTCAGACAAAGACTAAATACAACCCTCCTTACTCAACAAAACATAGTGTAGAGATCTAAGGAAGAATGGAGAGTATCAGGCATGTCAATCCCATCACTCCCCAAATATTTCTTCTGCTCTGAAGAGTTCTGAAACCAGCAAGAGGCTTCAGAACTGTGTGGTGACTTTATGGATGCACATGAGGGAAACTTTCCTTCTGGGAAACAATCCTTCTGGGTACAAAGCTGTCAAAATGGATTTCCATCAAGGCATCAAGCCTGTGCGGGGCTATGAGTTGGACTTGATGATCCTTGTGGTTCCCTTCTAACTCAGCTTATTCTGTGATTCTGTGAAGTAATTAAATATTATGTCTCAAATGAGCAGACAGTAGCAGAGAGGGTTAAGTGTGTCTTCCAAAAAGTTATACAATATCTGGAAAAAATTATTGGATGAGTTTCCTCTGATTGCTAATTGCATTCACTATTAAGACATCATTTTCTTTCCTTTCTCATTTGCTCTGTGCTTCGAGGTAGAAGATGGAACATGGGACTATGACAAATCCTCTTCTGGGATCTACGTAGTGGGGTTTGTCTTTGATCTTCCTTTCCTCCTACCCTTGGAGACCAAACGCATTTTTGCACATGGCAAATGTACAGAACTGTGGGGCTCAGAAGTGCTGTGCTGATCAGAGAGAATTTCCCTGAAAGGTCTGTGTTCTGCATTATTGAAACATTAAAAAGTGGAGTTCAGGCTGTTTGGGGCTTGTGTAACTCTGTGTCTTGTCCTGGAGGCCGAGTCTGGCATGGGTTGAAAGGTCAGATGGCCTCGAGTTTGGAAGTGACCTGCGCTGTTGAGTCATATGTTGAGTCACTGAGGGGGTTTCCCCCCTTTTTTCTGCATTTACTGCCATGAACTGGTGTCTAGTATGATAGTCCCCAGTAATTTCTGAAAGCTGTGCTTTCCTGATATCTGTTCACAACGTCTGCTAGGGGATTAGGGCTACTGTGGGCATATATTTCAAGTAGATTTCTATTAGAGAAGCCAGTCCTGTCAATCAAGAGGTTGATACTGGACATTGAGGACCCCAGCTTACAGATATGGGGTCTCCCTAAAGCAAAGTCTGCATCAGGCTGTGCTGGGTCAACAGCACAAAAAAGCAGTAGTGAGCTGTGTGCAGTAGAGATAAAATGAAAATAGGGCTCTCCTGCAGTACCATCAGCTTACTGAAACTGCTGCATGCCGGGTTCCTTGGAGCTGCTAAATTTATTGTATTTTGTGCAAGGTGTGTTAGCACTCTTTGAGAGCTGTCGTGGAAGAGCCCAGAGGGATGGTGGTGGGTGAAATACAGAAATAGGAGGGGGAAATGTGGAAGGTAACTGGAGATGGACATCTTCTATTCATGATCATGGACAATACGGGTTTTCTTCCACTACAAAGTGACCTTAAGATGTACTGATTTTTTTTATCTTGGAGGCTTCTTGTGTAATTGAGTGAACAAGGGAAAGACAGGGCTTTGCTTTCAGCTGCAAACTTGCCCTGTGGGATTTTTTTCACTTGCCTGACACAGTGTTCTTCCACAACTATTTTTTTATTATTTTTGACTAGGATAGAGGAAGGAGAAGACCTGAGGATTTTTATTAGACTTTATGAAATGTATTTTAACTAAGCAATGAGATGTTGTATTCACTGAATCTTAAGGGTGCTATCGTGATGGAAATAAAACCCAGAGTCTCATTTGTAGTAGGCAAAAAATAGATGGTACTTTAACTTTTTCAGTTTGATTCTAAAAAGACCCAATAATTGAATAGGCTTTGTTGAACAGAAAGCTACTCCCGATGCCTCTTGTGATTGATTTCATTTTCATTTTCCATCTTCTTCTCTCCACAAATTTCTTACTTTTTTCCCTCTTGTTACCTTCCTTTGAGGCTTGGAGTGGTAATGTTTTTCCAAGAGGAATGGCCCTTATAATCATGAATATCACCTTTTGATACAGTTCAGATAGGCCCTCAAATGCAAAAGCTTTTTCTTTTGAGAGAGTGGAAGAAGTTGTTTAAAATAGCCGATATTTTGTCTAAAAAACGGGCATGCACACATGAGCTAACTTGCCTCTCCTTCCAAAAAAACCAGTTCATATTAATAAATCAAGAAACTTCTTAGGCCAAAGCTTCACAGGGATGCACTTGCTTTTCAGTGCACGTGTTACTCCCTGATCTATTTATTACTGAAAGTTTCAGAGGCAAAACTAATTAGCAGTTTGCCACAGTACTCCTGACTCCTGGAGTTGTAGTAATGACTTGATTTTTGTAGAACTGAGCTTATGACCTGCAATAGACAAGTCTGGACAAAACAACTTACTTGGTGCAGTTCCTGAAAACTTATTGCTTTTATCAGCATCCTCTCTGCAGCTACAGAGCTGGCACATTTTGGGTCTTAAAAACAGGATGTAGAATCTAGTTTATACCTTACTGTGTGGGAAAAGGTCTTACATTTTTCACCCATCTTCAGCAATTATCATACTACCAAAAAGTATGATGGACATATTTCAGGTTAGAGAAAAATTAGTAATGAGAAGTTTGCACTTGAAGGACGGGTAGTGTTAAAATTTAATTTTCAGTCTGTCAGCTTAGTTCTGCAGAAGAGTGTTTAGCTCTTAATATGTTAAGAGAAATACCATTAGGATTTTTTTTTCTCTGTAGTTTCACAATAGTCTTATGTATGGGTTTAGTAGTGCTCTCTCTAGCTAAATAATGGAGATTTTCCTCCCTTCCAGTTTATATCAGGATCTGATATTTTTTTTTCCCCTGAGGTCAAAAAAAAGTAGAATTTGCCCAGTACTTTTATTTTACAGATTTTTTTGCTGCCCCTGCAGCAAAGCTAAAATTTCCACATCTTTGGAATTCAGTCCTCTTCTGACTCTCTTCACCCTTGGAGAGGTTTTCACCTCTTCAAAATATCATGTTTTTCTCGAGACATGAGGACTTTTGGATGTGTGAGTCATCATTTACTACTTGTCTTGTCCTACATATTGCAACACCCTGGAAGTGTTGGAGACAGACTCTTTATCTGAGGTGTAGCAGCAATCAAACCTCTGAGCAGAAACCATAAAGGCAGTATGAAATTAAGAGCAGAAGACCAACAAGTCTCAAGGAAGAAGCAAATACTCTTCATCCACCTCCCCTCACTGAGGGTTCTGTTCAAATTCTTCCAACCACGCAGCTTTATAGGCAATCATCTAACTAATATCATCAAAACCTCTGGGAACTGAATACCTTTGATGTTCAGATGGGAATGGAATCCTTTGTAGAAGTGATACATAAAGAATAATTTATACAAGACGTTTTACTTTCCTGGTTTTGTGACTTTGACCTTGTTTTTCTACGTATTCAGTCGCAATTAAGAGTTTTCTTTTTCCAAGCTGTAAATGATTATTTGCAAAGTACTGACGCTGGGTAAATAGTGGGTAAATATTTTCAAAAGGAAAGAAAAGACAAAAGGGTTACACGATAAGGATGATTTTGCTGCAAAGGTAAGAACTGTTTCTCACACATCTATTTGCAACTTATAGTAGAAAGGATCATTTGAAAAAAAAGAAATTCCTCAGAAAACCTTGGGGGAAAACATTCTGATTAGTCATCTTAATATTAAATATGGGCTGTTTCAGACATTTTACACCAGATATGCAGATCTCCTTGTAGTGACTATTACAAAATAGATCCACATTTGCTGAGGTTCCAACTCAATTTTCTGAATGGACAGGATGCTTAAAAATGCCTCTTTCCAAATAATATTCACTTAGGCTTCTCTGAGGAGTCTCTGTTCTGCCTTTGGCCATGCTGAGCCCTGAAACTCTGATCCACAGCAGGAACTGGACGTTTATTTCAAAGAATTGCTCTTTAGTCTTTGGGACCATAAGGTATGTGCTGCATAAAAGTATTGTAAAATGTTTGTAGCCCCGTGAAACATCCAGACACACTCAGTACATACAAATAAATCCAAAAAAAAGGGCAAGAAAATAAAAATAATAAGCACTTTAACTTTGGCTAAATCTTTAGAGCCTAGATATAGGATGTTGTTAAGTGCTTATGTGAATTGCTATTTTTTAAGGCTCTATACAGTAATCCAGAACTACAATATGTTATTTTTTCCGTGGCTCAGTGAGAAATAACAATACACCATAGAAGTATAATGATAGCTGTGCATTATTCCTTCTTTCATTGTATTAGTTATATTCATCAGAAGTGGTTATCAGTGAGTCCAATGCCTGATATGATTAGCAGAATGGATTTAGAATAGCAAATGGATCTGTGGTTTACAAACTGAATCAATATAGGTATATCCTAAGAAAACCAATTCTGCTATGCCTCAGCTAATGCAAACTGTTGTGCACTTTGTGTTCATCACTTGCCTGGAACACAGCATTTTGTTTGCACATCATTTTGGTGGTGCACAGATGTGTTTCAGCCAAAGCAGGACAACAGATGGTTGATTTGTGTAGGTGTGGGGTTACAATTTTCTCCTTGGTAATACTTTGAACTTTTACTGCCCTAGTACTTTTCTTGGTGCTTAATATAGCGACAGTCCCATGTGATTTAGTCACTCAAACATAATCCTCCAGTGCCTTTGTTTTATGCTGCGCTGTGTCCCATAAGATCTGCTGATGATCCAGAAGGGCAGAGGTCTGCTTGCAGATATCACAGTTGCTGGATATGCGCAGGTGTCTCAGATTCTCCACAGCTCCTAAAATCACACTGGCTCACTATCTGCAGACAATTTGTCCTGTCCTAGAAGCATGCACACACAGACATGCACGCAGATGCTTGCTCTCACACTGTGGAGGTTGAGACCATACAGGTAATTTTGAGAAGTGCAGATTCAAATATTTCATTATGATTTACTCTTTAATATCTGGAAGTAATTAACTATTTTTATTAGCATTATTAATTATTAGAAATTACCATTACTGCATACAAGATTTAGCATTATTTTCCAGTTTATTAACCCTAGTGTGCTGCTCTTGTGCATGTGAGCTTTGCACAACAGCAGCTCCTGGGGAAGGATAAATGAAACCTTATAATCTCTTTCTGCTGTTACCTTAACAAGCCTGTCAGAAGCTCTTTGCAGAATAAAATCTACTAGTACATGTCCTGACACCTTTTAGGGATTCTTATTTCAGCATCCTGTCCTGGGCATATGAACCTAATTTTCCAGTTCAACTACCTTAAGCTAAATTTTTTTGAAGATGATGATAAAATATAGAGAAGGGATATCCTCAAACTCAGTTAGGAGATTAGCTATCTTTCATGTTTTGTTTCTGTGACACTGCTATAATTCTCTAGAATTCTTTGGGTCCTGGCCTGTTAGAGTATCGCTGCTTTAATAGGCTTGAACTAAAAGCCTTTCCAGCACCCAAGTGCGCTGTCCCAAATACTAATTTTGGTCTTTACAGTAGTAACCAGCCTTCCATTTTCACATCCTCCCATGACATTTGTCACTCATTCTCTCACTGAATTTGTAACTCCAGTAGTGGCAATATTCCTAGCAATTATGATTAGAAGATAGACCTACTTATCTTTGACTGTGGTATCTGATTCTTGCAGAATCATTTGTATTTTCTGGCTCTCCTTTCTTCTGAGGGATGCAGAGATGAATTATGAGCTGTGTGAGACGTGCTCTGACAAGTGCTGCCATCTTACAGGGCTGTGCTCCATTAGTATGAAGTGTTTTGGACAGAAGTCTTTGCAAATTGATTATTTAATTTTAAAACAGATATTATTGCATGTTTTATATGCACTTAGTGTTTGTAAGGCATCCCTGTAAACAGCTTTGGTAATACCAAATTTGCAGTGGGAAAGGACTCTGTTGTAGCACCTCTGTCCTAGAGACAGTGACTGATAAAAACCATCAGCTTCCATTGATATGTCTCCAGTGATGTTAAACCTTAGTGTTTGCTTTTCCATACCTCACGCTTTTACTTGTCTTGTCTTTTATGCTTGACAGGAATTTACATTAGCCACACACGCGTTCTTCATTTATTCTCCTCTTTCGTGGGAATGTTGTTCTATTTTTTTTCAGGGACTACTGAACTTTTCAGTTTTGAAATAAAAAATAGATCACTAGGATGATCAGATGTATCTAAACTTTTTTTGAAAAACGTGTGAAGGCTGACATGAACAAAACATAATTATAAACTTTCCTGATTATAATTTGAAATCACTAGGTCGTGTCTATCTAATCATGTTTCCGAGTAGTACCAGAGTCAAAGCAAATCATCAAAGCTGTGGAGAGCAGATAGCAGTAGCAGTAAGTCTTGCTTACATTTTGGAAGCAGGCATTCCACACACTGAGTTGTATCTAACCCCCTCCAGCACGTGTCGAAAGTAATATTCATCACTCTTCCATAAAAGGCCTAAAGTGACTTAATCAGCCGAAGTTTCTCTCTGTTTTAACTGCCTGTTCCTATTTGAGGCAAGGAGAGCCTGTCTGTTTGCTGCACAGAGGCGTTGTATGTCTTCGTTAAATAGATACTCAGCTTTCCTGTTCACTGCATCTCCTTTTACATCCTATCATCCTCTTGCTCCCTACTGACTCTCAATAAATAAAATAAACTCAGACCAGACAAAGCTGATAAGCTGCAGCCAGGCAGGGAGGGATGGAAGCTGTCTTTGGAGTCATGAACTGGGCTTCCCACTGATGTGACAGCATTGAAGACAGTCAGACAGAAGAAGAGATCAAATACTGAGCTTTTGAGGCCTCCTGCTTCACAAATTCACAAAAGTGCTGATATGTTACCTGCAAGTAAAAGACAAGTCAATAATAAAACGATAAACAAAGTATTAAGGGTAGGGGGGATTGATGGACACTGCAGTAGCTCATCTTACATGTATTTTTAATGCTGATTTAAAGTGTGCATGGGAACTAAGGAATTGCAGGCATATGTGTGTTGTGTGCCCAGTAAAAGGAATGGCATAAATTATGCAGGACATGTCATCCTGTTGCCAAATATTTAACACCATTCCTACACAAAAGAGACAGCTCAGGGGATCCTTATTCAAACATTAGTAATCAAATCCTTTTCTTGTCATAGCAATCTCTTTTGCATAATTTGTGCCTGCCACATCTAGAACTTGCACAGAAACTAACTCAGAAAGAGGTGGCCTGGTGCTAGTTGACAAAACTTAGTGCTTCAATGACAATTTGTGCTGTACCATAACTGTGTGAGTAAAAATAAGTCTGTCTGGATCCCCGCTTGCTGATTATAATTGTGGTCTACATCTGTACATTTTACAGTGACTTATGATTATTTCTTGTCCTGGGATTGAGAAAGAAAGTCTTTGCCTCAGAAAATTACTCATTCTGACTCAAAAAGAAAAACGTTGGAAATGCAAATATTTTCTACAAATTGAAAGTCACCCAGAGCTCCCCATATCTCTTCTGAAAGTAATGCTTTCAGCAGAAACTGGCTGATCTGCCTAATGGGTACAAATTGTTCCTGCCCGAAATGAATTTTATTTAAAATTCAGTATCTTTCAAAATTTATGGTTACTAGTCTGTAGGGGTTTCTTTGCTTCTGTAAAATGCACAAAGAGAAATAACTCAGTGTAGTGTGTCCTCATAAGAGTTATTCATTATTTTATGATGGAATCATAGAATAGTTTGGATTGGAAGGGACCTTAAAGACCATATGGTTCCAACACCCTGCTAGGTGCAGGGATACTTTCCACTAGACCGGGTTGCTCCAAGCTCTTTTCAACCTGTCCTTGAACACTTTCAGGGCTGGAGTACCCACAGCTTCTCTAGGTAAACTGTTCCAGTGCCTCACCACCCTCACAGTGAAGAACTTCTTCTTCATATCCAATCTAAACCTGCCCTCTCTCAGTTAAAGTCAATACCCCTTGTTCCATCTCTCTACACTCTTGTAAAAAGTCCCTCTGCACCTCTTTTGTAGCCCCTTTAGGTAATGGAATGAGCCATAAGGTCTCCTCAGAGCCTTCTCTTCTCTGGGTGCATGACCCCCAGCTCTCCCAGCCTGTCTCCAGAGCAGAGGGGCTCCAGCTCTCTGAGCATCTTTGTGGCCTCTTCTGGACCTGCTCCAACAGGTCCATGTCCTTCTTATGTTGGGGATCCCAGAACTGGACTCCAGGTGTGCTCTTAAAAGAGCAGAATAGAGAGGGAGAATCACCTTCCTCAAGCTGCTGGTCACTTTTTTTTGGTGCAGCTCAGGACTTGTTCAGCTTTCTGGCTGTGAAAGCAAATTGCTGGGTCATGTTGATGCTTCTTGTCAGTCAACGTCCCCAACTTCCTCTCTGCCATTCTCCACTCAGCCTGTATTTATACTTTTTAGCTCTTAGTTCTATCTTATCCTGGTCCCATTTTGATTTCCTAAGAGGTTGTACTGTGATGACCCCCCTGTGTTTTGCCTGAGTGCGTTTGGGTGCTGATAACTTAATAAGCATTGGAAAAGAAAAAAAAAAGAATAAAGAACAGCAGTGAAAACCTTAGGCAGCCAGCAGCTTTGATAGAAGCAGATGAAGTTTCTGTGGGAATTACAAATGAGGAGATAGAGCAGAATTTGTAATAAAGATGCACAACGCAGTGCAAGTAACTGAACTTCCACCTACGTATTTCAAACTTACATCCAGAGTGCTTGAAATTCCATAATGTTAATGCTGACCTTTAGTATGCAGGAACATTAGGGGAAGGAAGTCTTGCTATACTGTGGGAGCAAAAAAGTTAAAGAAAGAGTTGGAGATTCTGATTAGGAACTAATTAGTCTCATCCACAAAGTCTATCTATTGTGTGTTTGATATATGGCTTATAGGATTGCATTCCCAAGTTAAACTCCTACAAACTTTTAATGTGTTGTTATGCCATTTTGTTAAAATTGGGAATAGAAATAAATGGCATTACAATGGG